TGTGAAGAGGTGACTTTGTTACAGCAGGAAAACGATGACGCAGCTGTTCTTTCTTCACTTCCTGAAATCTTTGCATAGTACCTGACACTAAGGATCTGAAAAGGATGTGGTGGGAAAAAATGCATACTGCAAATTTCCTCTCCTGGGACAGAAGATATTGCATGATACTGGCTACATGGATACCCTTAACAGTCATTGCTGAACCTGGTCATTAAAATTATATTCAGTCTATATTCTGAATCCTATATGGGTTAGACATACAACTATTTCCTAGAACTTTTAATGCAATTCAGCATTTTAACTGAGATGTGTGAACAGTTTGCTCATTTTTAGCTGTACATCTTTATTCTTTGCAGTGTGACTCAGGGTTTATGGATAATTGCACTGCAACAAACATCACAATATCCAGTAAACTAAACATCTAAATTATGTTCAGCTTTTTAATGGCAATTACTGATGTTCACAAACTGTACAATACTGAGCAAAATGCACCGTGCATGCTTGTATGAGCAAATATTACAACATGCAGATTTGAGGATTATCTGTTGTTATCCCTCTCTCAGACACGCAGGTATGATGCAATGCATGTATCGCAAACTTTATTTAAAAACAATTTTGCACTGATTTCAAGCCCCAAAGTAGCACAATATAAAATGATGTCAGCATACACGTTTTCTATTTACAATATATATGTTTAAATGTGTTGAAGCAGAAAAAAAAAAAAAATATATATATATATATATAGGATGTCACTGAACTGTACAATTGAACCTGTTCTTTAGTAGCCTCTAAACAGGTACTTGTGCCTCTACAACCCATCCAAATGATAAACAGCCATCTTAATAAATAAATAAATCATAAATGTATCCTTATGTATGCCCATATTATTTTGGATTATTTCCATTTAACTAAAAACTGAACTGTAACTGAACAGCTGTAAAGAAAATAAACTATTACTGTATAATGTAAATAATATTTTTTACTCTATCATTTATTCATATCTTGGAATTCTGTAATACACAATAGATTATGCTTGTTTTGAAGCTATGGAAGCAATAAAAGGAATAAAAAGAAAGTTTGAAGTTGTGTTACTCTTTTTTTTACCATTTTCCTTAGCATCTTAATTTACTTAAAACATAAGATTTTTGTTGCATGTTTTAAATGTAATATGATAATTAGAAATATATTCAATCATATTTTCTAAGCTTAAGGTGTTGTTGGGTTAAGACAAGTGCTAGGTGAGTAAATGGGTGGCTGTGACCATTCAGGGCTGAATAATTGGGATTTGATTGAATGACAAAATGATACAGGTTAAGAATGAGGGATTGATCCCAATCAAATGTATTTGCATCTAAATTGTTGTCATAAGGAGTAATAAGGTTGGTCAAGCTTTGGTCTTAATCTAATGTATTATTCTGTACTTCTAACCACTATATGTACAAACTCTGAATGGTTGTCAAGGTTTTGCTGGTTTTGGGGGCGTGACTGCGGGAAGATGGGGCATGGAAAGCTAAAATGGCTTGTCCAGACCAGAGGGCTGGATAAGGGGATTTTTGGTGCATGTTATCTGCCTAATCTGAGAGGATTTTTTCTGCGTAAACAACAAAAACGTGCTCTGGGAGGCTCATTGTTATGGTTCACAGGGGCAAATTACTGCAAAACTAATAAACTAAGCTACACACAGAGGCATATATTTTTAACAACTATTTGAAAACGCAAAATTCAGCTTCTAAAAAAATGTTTATATTGCATAATACAGAAATGTTATGTAATGGTCTACATGAGGAAGACTCCTGACAGCAGACAGCTACTTACAGGCTCTACAGGAAGGAGAAGCCAAAATGGTACAGCTGACTGTTTGCAGAGTGAGCTATCCAGGCCTCTAAATGGAAAGTTAAAGCTACAGTGTGTAATTTTCAGCGACATCTAGCGGTCAGACTGCAGACTGCAGCAACATGAACGTCTCCCCCCCACCGCTTCTCCCCCCCAACAGTACGGCGAGCGTTGGGACAAAATGTCTTCCACGACGTCCGCATCACCTACCTTCTCAAGTGATGAGGTTTGTTTACATAGATAATTTTACAGATAGTATTTCATTAGTCTGTGTAGGGTATAGATTTCATGTAGACTTAAGATAATAAATATACCCGTTATTTTTTCTACGTCGTTGTGACGTTTTGGTGAGCTGCTTTGCATGGTGATATAAACAGACGAAGTAATTGTAGTCATTAGTTTAACAGCGAGATTGTGTTCGCTGGAAGAATATATATTCCCCGTTTACAGAGTCCAAGTCTTGTTTGTGGCACGGGGGTTACAAGGCAAGGAAGAGGGAAAGGAAGAGGGCAGAGAGGCCGGGGTGAGCGTGCAGCTGGGGCCAGGCGAGAGAGGGGAGCCAGCGGGGTGAGAGCAGAGGAGGAAAGGCTTGAAGATCTCCAAAGGAGCCGGAGAGAAGTAACCGAGGTATATATCCAGAAAATTATTTTACAGAAAATTACTGAATCATTACCTGTGAAACGTCAGGGACGTTGCTGAATAAGTATACTGGAGAGTAACAGCATCATCACGCAGCATGTTATTGTTTTAGACAGGTCTGAGCATCCTGTACTCCAAAAACTGCAGTGATATTAGACAATTGTGTGTGTAGGATTAATTACCTGTCCAAGAGAAAACTGGCAACTTGAGCGTCACTTTGAAAACCTTTTTCCTCCATCAGTGACTTCCATCGTGTAAATGCCGTGCCAATGTTGATCCGTGTTTTTTGTCGTTTCTTGTCACTCTTGCGTTTATTCTCGTCGTGTTTCCGCTTCTTAGATGACGGGGGTTCGGTGTCCGCCGCTTTTCGTTGTGATACAGAGTAGGCATGATCCTCCATTCGTCTGATGTTTGGCCACACAGTGCCAAACAGTTTGCAAAGTCACTCACGCCTGCCGCCTTGTTTACCTTTCTTGTTACCGAGGCGCAGTATACCTGCTTCTTCTTCTTCTTTGGTTTCAGGCAGACTAAACGCTTCTCAGGCATAATACTGCCATCTACTGTTCAGTACCGTCTCAGTTCATCTCTCTCAACTTGCCGTAGTTATTTTCGAGCGTCATGGGAGATCTCGCAATCGCTAGTTTGTTGCCTCTGCGCTGCCGTAGCGCAAAGATGTCAGCCTCCATGGCTGCGAGACCCGCTCCTATGTAATTATAAATAACGAATTCTAAGGCAACGCAAATGTTATGGTTGAAAGGCTGAGCTCATAGGTGATGATAAATAACATAGTTATGTATAATATATTAAATTTCTGAATTTATATGCCTGTAATTATTACAGACTGTAGCTTTAAGTGGAAGAAAAATGTGTGGTCAAAAAAAGCTGTACAAGCAATAGGTATAACCATAGCCTTAGATGATTTTGAACAAAGCGAATTAAAAAGTTTGGGTGATATTCACAAAACAGACTGCAGCTGGAATCAGAGTTTCAAGACCCTCTATTGTCTTCATTTCATTGTGTCATTAGGTTAAGACTGGACTCACTTGATGAGATAAGTGGAGTGGAATTCTCCTGATGGAGAATTTCAGTTGAGCCACTGTATCATAATGATCGTATATATAAGACAAAGATGCACATCTATTTATACAGAGATCTAAACCCTCTGACCCTGCCGCGGGAGCGGGCGGCTAAGACAATAGAACAGCTGATAGAGCTGGAGCTGGTTGCTTCCCCTAACTGACCAATAGTTGTGGAGCTTAGCTGTGAAGGCTAGTGCACCTTATTGACAAAATGAGACATAAGTGCATGAATTAAAAGATAAAATGTTAAATACATTTTATTAAAGAAAGTTTAAGGAGAGAAAAAAGGGGGGGAAGAGTAAAAAGAAAATAAAGGGGGGACACAAAAGAAACAGATAAATCTATAAATAAAGTAAAAGAAAAACATATAGGCCCACAATAAGAACAAATCACATTATTTAATGTAAAGAAATGCAGAATAAAATAAAGGTAAACTTATTCATAAAATATGTTGTAAATTAAATGTAATATAAATTGATTCAAAAATTTTTTAATTGTTTTATTGGTGTATATTTGACTTATTTTGACCATTGTTATATTTAAACTTTTATTATTAATTATGTCAGTGCTGGGCTCCGTATTTCAGAGTCTCTATATAATTCACTATATAAAAGCTTTTACTAGCAGTATGTGACAACCAGTGGTGGTTCTAGACCAAATGTACCAGGGGGCCAGGAGGGGGCCAGAGTGTTTTCATGAGGGCACAGAAAAACATGAAATAAAAAACATGGCAAGGGATTCAAATGTATTAAGAGAGCTGCATGAAGTGACATTTTTATTCAATGAGTTTGAATTAAAACTATATTTCTTAAAAGGTCAATATACATTGATAATTTAGGAATTATACATATTTTTCCATTTCATTTAAGATAAAAATACAATTTTCTATAAAATCTGAATTAGAGCTAAAGAAAAACTGATCAACTTAAATGTAAAAATAAGAGTTTTTTTTGTTTTTTTTTGTTCTGAAAAAAATATTGAGCAGATGAAAACTGGGATCCTATCTCAATAGGACTGAAACTATCACCTGATTGTTTTTAAACAACTAGTTAAACATAATTTGTAAAGAACAAAAATTAAATAGATCCAAAGGACCTATCAGTAACCATTTCTGTTCCAGCGCATATCATCATTAAAATTTCTTTTAAGTAATATTTCTTCAGTACAGGGGCCACAACAGGGGCCAGGACATGATTTACAGGGGCACGTTGGCCCGTCTAGAACCACCCATGATGACAACCTTTAAAAACACTAGAAATAAGTAATTTAAACTCATCACTCTTTAATTATTTTATATGAAATATGAGTATTGTTGTAAATTTAAACAATAGAACAAATTCTGACGCACTTATAGTAAAGTGTTGAATCGTTTGTTAAGCGTGGTTTAAATTACTGTATCCAACAGTGCCATCTAGTGGCCTCTCTCAGTAATTACCTGTGTTCAAAGAGAAAACGGAAGTAAACTAGTTTTGCTTTCCTGGGTTTTACGTGTCTCTGAATAATCAAAAGGCTTGGACTTTATTTTGATCCGCAGCGATAGCCTCTGTTATTACAGCTGAGTCACGATGGATTCCGAAAACGACGAAATACACGTACGCCTTATTGAAGACTTAAGACATAAACTTGAAAGTATTATAAAAGTAGAGGAGACGCTGATATATTTACATTTTATTACACAAGAAAGAAAGGAGCGGATCAGCCAGAAACTGAAGGCGGAGGGTAATGCTTCGGCTGCAACGTTGCTTATTAGTGAGGTGGTTGAGAAGCCGCATACACAGGGGTGGTTCAGGGCCTTTGTTGACGCCTTGCGTCAGGGGGGCTCTGTGCTGGCTGTTGACTACTTGTTAAATCCCCCAGACCCCGAAACAGAGGCGGAGAATGATTACTGCGTTAAGCTAATTCAGTTACTGGCGCCCAGCCTGGTGGACATGAAAACGGTCGAAGTTTGTAATCACTGTTTTTCAAAGGAACTCATTACTGCTGCTGACAAAGAGCGGGTAAGTTGGACTGTAGAGAGCTGTACAGAAGTTTAAATAACAATGAATGAAATCGGGGCTTTCCGAAATTGTTTTAAATATACAGCTGCATGGCCACAAGATGGCGGTATTGAGCCATTAAGATTTTATGGACGTTATGGTCTAATTTATTCATTGATTCTAAATATAGATTTTGGCTGAAACGAGAAATAACGGGAACAGAAGTGGAGCCTCTGAACTTCTGAGCAGAATCGTGAGGTGCCGACCGGGTTGGATCTCTGATTTTCAGGAAGTTCTGCGCCTCACTGAACACAAGGAGCTCTATGAACTTACTGGAGGATCAACTGAGTGTGTGAAGCCAAGTAAGTGTGTGGCTAGCTGACAAGCCTTGGCTGGAGATATATATATATATATATATATATATATATATATATATATATATATATATATGCATGCATACATATATACACATTTATATATACATAGAAACATATATATACACATACCGGTATATACATATATACATTCATATACACACACATATATATATATATATATGTGTGTGTGTGTGTGTTTTATTTAATCTTTGAATGAGATCCTGCCTAAAATGTAACATTTTTGAAGTAAAGAGAAACATCTTTAATAGTTAATTATATAAGTAATAGATAATTATTTAACAATGATAGAAAATTATATTTATTTATAGATTTCTACTTGTGTGACATGTTTGAATTGGACCACAACATGTTCTGGTCAGCATCTTTAAATATTCAAGGCTGTACAATAGAATTGTCTATTTATTCACTTCCACCCCAGAGTTTTTGCAGCCAGTGATGGAGCTGCTTCCTGACTGTGTACAGAGGGGAAGATTCAGGTTCTGTATTTTCCTGTCTCCACCTGCAGCACAGCCAGCCTTATGTATAGCAGCTTGACAAACTTCAGAGAAACTGCGACAGCAGCATAACCAGTTAGAATAAATGGCTTTTGGGGGTACCTCCCAATACTGTTGTGGATAATTGAAAGAAAGTAATAAAAGATTTATGCTCATACAGATTTTATGAAACTTAAGAATGAAGCTCCAATTTCCTTGTAAACACCTTTAAAAAATAATAATATTTGTGGCAAAAGATGTAGGAGGCCAATTCAGGGCCCCCACTCTACCCTGGACCCGGGAAAACTGGCCCCGGTAAAGTTTACTGTCCAAATTCTTATGAGCAAATATTTCTACTGCTTTCTAATAACAGTAATAACAGTGGTTAACTCTAATTCATTGTTCGTCTGCAAGAATTTGGTGTCAGCTTAATTTTGAGCTGTAAAAATATTTATTTATTGATTTTCAGAAAATGGAGCTTCAGCAGAACCGTTGGCTGAAAGCTGTCCGAGTGTGGAGTCCATGGAAATCACCATCGCCGAAGAACCTGACTCCACAGGTCTTACAGAATATGTTTGATCACTATTAGATATTTAAAACTAATCTGGGCCTGTGGTTACTGGAGTGAGCACAGCCAAAGTTTAAGCAGCTTCTGTAAAAATGTTCACTATTGGCCTTAAAAAGATTACATTTACAGCTGAGACAAGATATCTTTGTAAAGTTTACAATATAGCACATCAGAATTTTACTTTTTTAAATAAACTTTTCTTCTTCTAGGTTCAGTTAGAATTCCATAAACTATTTTTAATTTACCAGAATAATAATTGGAAGATTATTTTAAAGATTAGATTTTTCACCTTCTCTAAATGAGGTTAAATTAAAAAACAGTTTGCATGCATTTATTTGGTAGAATTACCTTTTTAAAGCTCTTAAGACTTGGAGCAAACATTTTAGACCCTCTTTCCTTGAGCTTCTTATTCTTATTCGGTGGAATTTGCTCCATTTCTCATAGTAAAACTGGGTTAGAATATTAGACAGCCTCAGTTGCACTGAGATCAGGGCTCCTCCAGTAATTGAGCAACTTCTTTAACTTAATTAGTAATATGCTTATAGTAATTGTCCATGAGGTAGACCCATTTGTATCCTGTCTCTGATCTCATGGCTAATGCCTTAAGCTGCATCCTTAATATTTCCAGTGATATCATCTATTTTGTGAAGACTCATGTAGCTCCACAATACTCAGCAGCACTGCTGCTTACATGTTATTATAGTAGACATATTCATTTTAAGAAATGTACATAAGCAAAGCCTTCAGTGGCCCTGGCAACACATATTGTACTTTTTCCAAAAAAAAAAGACCAAAAAAAAAAGAGAATATTTCATAAAGCAATAAAAATTTGCATCAAAAAACACATCCCAAAATAAAGATTATCCAAATGGGGAGTTTCTCAAAACGTTTTCATTGTTTTTTTAGAATAATTTGTGTGATGATGTTTCTGATCTAGTTTTTTTTTTTTTACATTGTCTTTTCTGGTTTTAACCCTCACTTTTCAACCCTTTTGTTTAAACATTGGGGAGTTTTATTTGCAGCATGTTAATAATCTTTTGGATTTACTTTAGTTTTCAACAGAAAGTCCGACACAAAATCTGGCCTAAATTAGGATGAACAGACACTTTGATCTGTATTCTGTGCAAAAATGAGTTCAGATTTTTTGATTTTCATGAGTTTTTTTCCCAGTAAATATCTTTTTTTTTTTTTTCCAGGTCTGTATGCATGTGCTAAGCCTTTGAAAAGCGTGGAGGACATTAGGCCAGGTGAGACTCATTTCCCCTCACCAACATTCTTAACATTGTTACGACTCTGAAATGCGCTGCTGTCCTGCCAAACCTAAGCAGCCAGTGTTAAGTTAGTTAAGGTAATTGTATGGGGAAAACAATAGGCATTTCTTTAGTTTGTAGTTTAGTTTTTAGCACCAAAAAAAAAATGAGATCAGCTGGAAGATTGTTGTGGAACATTTTCATGCCTTTTGGTGGGGCATGAATATGTTCCATCTGTGAAGCTTTAAGAACCACAGAGAGGTCAAAAAGGACTGAGCGCAGCAGTGCTTTAAATGAGAACCACATGCTGACTCAGTATTAGCAGATCCAGAAGGAATCTGTGGAGTTTAGCCTTTCGTTAACTTTCCTTGCATGCTTCGTTTTGCCCAGTCTTACAGGAGAGTTAGGAAAAGTTAAGTTGCAATGTTCTACATCTGTCATCAGCCAAGAGGTAGTGTACACTCTGGACAGAACATCATATATCACAGAGACTCACCGCCATCCATTCTATATAGACTCTTTGTATGCCAGATTTTGGGCTTTAGGAGATGACAGACATGTACCCTCTTTCCCAGGTTCGACACAGGGATATTGTCAATGTGAGGAGAAGTAATTCCCTACTTTTTATGTTCTCCTTTTTAATCAACTTCCATCAATGCAAGTTTATATTTCTTTCCAAAATCTTGATTCTAATCCTGTCAGTTCTCATAGTTCAAACTGAATCTGTCACATGTATGCTCGCTGTTGTCTGTCTTTAGTTTCCCATTGAGTAAAATTTAATAAAGATGAGTATATATAACAAATAATTACAGTGTTTTTGACCTGCTGGTAAACTCGGAAGCGCCTCTGGAGCACATTTCCTATTGTTGATGTTCAGGCTCTATCTCTCTATCAGGACATACTTGTATTTAAGCTGATTAGGATAATTAAAAAGTGCCTGCACTGAGAAAGAATAAGATCTCTGAAAAGCTTTGAAAAAGTAGTACAAAAAAGTACAGACATTGGTTTACTTGATGTCTGTGGCTACAAAGCAGCTCTCGTGCTCTTTGTGGACAGAGAGGGTCTATTAGCAACAGTTGTGATGTTTTGCCACATATTCCACTGCAGGTTTTGGCGGGACTTTGACTAAGCGATTCTAACACATTCCGAAAAACCTTGTCAGTCTTTCAGTGATGCCTTTAAGTAATGGTTCTATTAACTCAATAAAACATGAAAAAAACATCCAGAAATACTTTATTGGTCTCAAAGGGAGATTAAATGTTGAAAAAATCATGAGCACCTTTTCAACAAGTTGTTATAGTTATTGATAGACCAGTTTCTCCACATCAGGATGCTACCATCACCCTGTAAGATGGGGATAATGTGATTAAGTTAATTAGTGTTCACTAGAACATAACGTTATTTAAGTTGTCCAAAATGCTCTATTTTGGTCTCATCCTTGCAGAGAATCTGTTTCCTCTAAAAGGTTGAAGGCAAACCTCAACCTGGATTTCCTGCACCTTTCAGTAAGGAAAAATGTGTTTTTTTTTTAAAGGTTGGATTCATTTCCTCATGATAAATAGACTTTAACTACTTATTAGGCAACTACTACAGCTAATCAACTGCTTTTGAGTTTTGGGGTAAACAAGTAAACTGGAAGTTAGGGCTGCAACTAACCATTATTTTTTGCAAAATCGATTAATCTTTCAACAATTTTTTCAATAACTCGATTAATAATAAGGGAAAAAAGAAACCAGGTTAAACTAAAACAGACAAAAACATATTTTTTTATATTAAATGCAAAATGTTTATATATTTTGTTACAATTTTGATATAGTTACTGTTCTAAGTGGTTCGCTCTGTCAGCTAAAGGCATTTTCACAGTTTCTATACTCCAGTTAACGGTTAATTGATTACTAAATTAGTTTAATAAATGATTAATCCTGATTAACCCAAATCATTGTTTCAGCCCTACTGGATGTCCTGCCTGTCAGCCACACCTTTTAGATTTTCATTAATAGAAAGAAGCTGAAAGCCATGTTTAATTCTTATGTTACTCAAAAATGATTAACTACTTTGTGTTGGTCTTTGTGATACATTAAATCGCAATTAAACAACACTAAGGTTGAAGGTTATAAGCTGACATAGCAAAGACTTTAGTAAGCCCCTTTATTTTAAGGCTTTATAAAATCTGGTACAATAAAAGTGTTAAATGCCTTAGTGGTGCATTGCTCACAGTCCAAGCAGAACAAATTACTCACTTCCTCCCAGCAACTTTAAATCCAGCCAGTGTGGGTCATATAAAGTCTGGTTTTCCTCAACAGTGTGTCTAAATTTTGCCCTATACAAGCAACAGTTAAAATAATACCGAAGTTGAATGCCATAGTATGGTGGAGTTTTTATGAATCATTTTAAAGAAATATATTATTTTATGCATAATTTCTCTGGTTGATGTCAGGGTGCACTATATTTTTTTTATAATTTATAGCTATAGACAACATGCTCTGTGAAAAAGCAGGCTGATAATTTTAACCGGTTCATCTGTCTTTCTTTCTGCTGTACTTTGTGTAAAACTGGTGAATTTGAAGTTTTGAAACTTCACATATTTTTCAAAACATGTTTATGTTATAAAAGCACAGGAAAAGTGCTTCTGTTTATAAACCGCTGAGGATATTTCATAACCAAAGTGTAATTGTGGCTTCCTTACATAGACAAAAGTTGTTTTTCCCCTAAACCTTTGCTATCCTTTGCTCTGTTTTGCAGATCTGAGTGAACCTCCAGCAGCAGAAACAGCAGGAACCACAAGCGGAGACTCAGAAGAAACAGAAATCTCTCTCCGAGATTATCAGATGGAAGTAGCCCGGCCTGCCTTGGAGGGGGAAAACATTATTATTTGCTTGCCGACAGGAAGCGGTAAAACCAGAGTCGCAGTGTACATTACCCAAAAACATCTGGACAGCAGGAGAGCAAAGGGGGAACCAGGAAAGGTGGTCGTCCTGGTGAACAAGGTACTAGAATCAAGCTCTGGTGTGTCTTGACTTATAGGCTTTTGCCTGCTTTGCTTCATTCAGATCCAAAGAAAACACTGAAGACATCCACCGCAAATTCCATGCCATATGTTTTATATATCTCAGTGCACTTTGCTGCTATTTGGCGTGTAGTAGTTCTGGACTGAACTTGGAAAATGAAAACCATGGGGGGGGAGGGGATTCATAAGGCCATAAAACTATCTAGTAGCAGTTTTTAAAAACAAGTATATAAGTAACTGAAAGCCAGTTTAGTTTTTAATCTTCATTCCTGAGCAATAAGTAAATCTGTTTCAAAAACACAAAAAAAGCTTGTGTGCTCACTTTGTAAACAGTGTGCAACAAAATCCCCTTTAGCCTCTAATTAGAAACCCTGCCTTAAACAAAGAGAATAAAGCTCTGAACATATTTAGCTGTGGTGGGCGTCAACATTGCGCCCTTTAGATCTTGGACAGCTCTATAGTGGCCAGAAGTAATTTAGTCATTTTATAAAAGAAAACCATTTCTATAAAATATTCTCTTTTGCCCCGTAGATTCCTCTTGTGGAGCAGCATTTTTCTACAGAGTTTACACCCTTTCTGAAGCCCAAGTACAAAGTGGAGAAGGTCAGCGGAGACTCCCAGCTCAAAATCTCCTTCACTAAAATTGTGGAGAAAAATGACATCATCATCTGCACGGCCCAGATCCTTGAAAATTTTTTGGAAAGGGCTGACAGCGGAGAGGATGATGGGGTGACACTAAGCGGTATGGTTTTCTAGCACTTCATTTCTAAATCACAAGGTTTGGTGTGAATAACTAGTGTGGATTATTCTCAACTAAAATCAATTGGCCCGTGGAAATGGCTTATTGGAGTTTAATAGTGTTTAACTTCCTGTAGCAGGTAGTGATGCTGCAGTGACAAAGCCAGCCTGAGTCTAAAGAGCACATTTGGTTTTATCATGTTGTTTTCATTGTGATCCTCTGCAATATCATGGCTGGAGCAATTTCTATTTGAATATATATTTTTTTAATTGAAAAAATATGTTCTTTAGGACGGAGTATTAGGGCTAGGCTGGAGATTTTTGTTATTGTTTTATTTTAAGAATAAATCGTAATATTATGTGAATAAAGTCATAAAATTCCAAGAATAAAGTCGCAACATTACAAGAATAAAGTCATGAAATTACGAGAATAAAGTCGTGAAAGTATGAGAATAAAGTCGTAAAATTACAAGACTAAAGTCGCAACTTTACGAGAATAAAGGCGCAACATGACTAGAATAAAGTCGTAAAATTACAAGAATAAAATCATAAAATTATGAGAATAAAGTCCTAAAATTACGTGAATAAAGTCATAATATTACGAGAATAAAGTCTTAAAATTACAAGACTAAAGTCGCAACTTTACGAGAATAAAGGCACAACATGATGAGAATAAAGTCATAAAATTACATGAATAAAGTCGTGAAAGTATGAGAATAAAGTCGTAAAATTATGAGAATAAAGTCGTAATTTACGAGAATAGTCTTAAAATTACAAGACTAAAGTCGCAACTTTACGAGAATAAAGGCGCAACATGACTAGAATAAAGTCGTAAAATTACAAGAATAAAATCATAAAATTATGAGAATAAAGTCCTAAAATTACGTGAATAAAGTCTTAATATTACGAGAATAAAGTCTTAAAATTACAAGACTAAAGTCGCAACTTTACGAGAATAAAGGCACAACATGATGAGAATAAAGTCATAAAATTACATGAATAAAGTCGTAAAATTACAAGAATAAATTTGCAACATTAGGAGAATAAAGTTGTATTTTATCACAACTCTTACAAGAAGCACTTTTTTCTCTAAAATGAGGAATGTTGAGCATCATGTGAAGTTATGTTTTGCCATCAGTCTGTCAGATAAAGAAATCTTTTACACACCAGCAACTTTATTCTCATTATATTACAACTTTATTCTCATAATGTTATGACTTTTATCTCATAGTTTTTTAACTTTATTCTCGAAAATAAAAATTAAAAGAATCTCTAGTCTGGCCCTAATACTCTGTCGTAGTTCTTTCTTTGTTGCTGCTAACTCAAGTTAATGTTGAGTTATGGGCTAATGAACAATTGTATAGGGATTTTTTGTAATTAAAAAATCTGATGTTTAAATGCTTCTTATTCCTAGTAGACATACAATGTACAATCAAGCTGCATATTGTTGCAATGTCTGGAAATTCTTCCAAAATCTGTCCTGGACATGACTTCTGACACTGATGTATTCTGGAATAAATAATCCCCCCCGGGGACTCGGAGGAGGGTTTTCCCTCGAGAGGATCTTGTCAAATTCTTCCACCTCTGGCGTTTATTCCTGTTGGCAGTCACCAGTCCAAGGTGGAATAGCCACCTCAGAGGAACATATGCTGTTTATCGAAACACTTGAAATCATACCTTTTTTTTTTCCCTCTTCCTCCTGGCTCTCAGTCCTCATGTCTGTTTAAGCCATTGGTGTGTGGCTGGATATTCACAAGAGACCATCTATCACAGCCCATCAAGCTGCCACTCTGCTTCTTTTTCTCTTCTGGGACAAATTTGAATCACGCAGTTTAGACTTGAGTAATTTGAATTCACCTCACTTAGATCACTTTGAGTTTCTCAAAAAGTAGTGCTTTTTGTGGAATTATAATTTTTTTTTTTTTATAAAAACTATTTCTATAGCACCTTTTCAAGCCAGGGGACTCCAAAGCACTTTACAATAAGTTATTCACATTCAAAAATTGATATGGCATTAAGGGGCTTAAATCAGCAACAGAAAATATAGCTGTCTTTGCATGGAAAAAGATTGTCTTTGTTGTTCTAATTTCTATGATGTCTTTATAATTTAGGGTGTAATCCTTTATGTGGATATGAATGTCTTCTAATATGTCTTTGTCTTTTGCAGATCTGTCACTGATCATAATAGATGAATGTCACCACACTCAGAAAGGAGGAGTCTACAACCACATCATGATGCGGTACCTGAAACAAAAGCACAAGAACATTAAGCTCAAGAAGGAGCAGAAGAAGCCCGTGCTACTGCCCCAGATCCTGGGCCTGACTGCCTCTCCAGGAGTCGGGGGTGCCAACACACTGAGCAAAGCTGAAGAGCACATCCTGCGAGTAAGTGCTGTGCTTAGTAGTTTATCATCCACCGTTCCTGTAAAAAAATGAATGTATACACATTTCAGGACTTAATTCATTGCAATTTATTTCTTTCAAGTTAGTTGCTGCTTTCACGACTGATCTAACACCTTAAAAGTTTGATGGGTTTTAACATTTGGATCTTTTATGCCAAGCTTTCAGATTCCTGATTTAAGGAAGGCTTCAAAGAATACTGAAATTGTCTATATCTCGACTGCATCACAAATAATTGCAAATTTATGTTGTTGTTTCTTTTGTTTGTTTATTTTAGATTTGTGCAAACCTTGATGCTTCCAAAATCATGACAAGAAGCCTTGGAGGAGATAAAAAGGTGCAAAGAAAATCCATTCTGGCTGTCGAACCAAGAAAAGAGGTAAACTATCTTTTCAGAGTAGACTCAATGGAATATTTACACTTAAACAGTTTGGTGTTAGTTTTGTGAAGCGGAGTTGATTCTGCATTTACCTAAATATCATTAGGATCCCTTTGGCCGTGTGATCAAGACAATCATGAACGCCATTCATGAACATGTTCTGCTTAGTCCCACCTGTGACCTGGGCTCTCAGAATTATGAACAGTGGGCTGTTCAAAAAGAGCGACAAGGTAAGTGGAGAACATTGCCCTATTCTAATTCTATTCTCTACTCTATTCTTATTACTAAAAGTTATACATCCTGGCCTTTTTTTTAAAGTAAAAAAACTATAAAATTTTCAAAGATTAGAAATAAAAAAACAAGGTTGTGTTTGAAATTAGTTGAGAAATCCAAAAATGAGTGCTATATTCAGGTATATACAGCTTCAGACTTTTATTTTTATGACATCGATCTGACAAATTGTAAGTGCCCTGTACTTGTAGGGTGTTTCGATGAGTCTAAGAACCCCAAAGCACTTTACAGTACAGTCATCCATTCGTACACACATTCAAACGCTAATAGTGTCAAGTTACATTATAGCCACAGCTGCCATTGGGCAGGCTGACAAAAGTATTGAAAATCTGTACATTTCCCTTTACATCTGTGGGCCTTGTTCCTTTTAGCATTATTTATTGTGCCTGCCAGTTGGGGTTTCATTTACAATGTTCTAAAGTAATATTACTTCATTCTATTTTAGCTGCCAAGGAAGGTGACCAGAAGGTGCGGGTCTGTGCTGAGTATCTGCGGCGGTATAATGAAGGTCTGATTCTGAGCAACACCATTCGCATGTGCGATGCCCTCAGTTACCTGAACAAATTCCACGAGGAGCAGATCAAGAAGAAAACGACTCCTGATGAAGAGGAGAACATACAAATCACAGAGACGGAGAGATTCCTGTTCAATTTGTTTAAAGGTGATTTTTTTTCCCCCATGGTATTATGTGCATTGGTATTAACTTTGACTATAGATTTTGTTTTTTCTGTATTTATTTTGATTGATAGTCATTGACCTGTCCTTGCTTACTTAGCTGAGTCTAGAGATGAGAAACTAAGTTAAATATTTCCTGCAGAGCTGCCAAAGTTGATGACTGCATCAAATTCTTTCATTTATATTCAGTCGAAAATCCATAGCGTCATGTTGTGTTTCTTGGATGCACATATATGAACTAGAGTGACGTCCCATTTTTGATCCATTATGTTTAACATGATGTTGCTAAAATCACTTTTATTGTTCTGGAAAAGCTTTTAACAAAATTAAGGGACATATCTATTAGAGTTCTGGGCTGTTCCTCTGAAAACATATTTGTGAGGACAGACACTGATGTCGGACAAGAGTTCCTGCCTTGTTGACCCTACTCTGACTCTTCCCAAACATTCTCTGTCAGCTTGAGGTTAGGGTATCCAAACTTCTCATTGACCCGCTAACAATCAGCTTTTCGCTCTTTCCCCATTTGTCAGCAGTGCTTAGGAGTGGTGGGGCACAGTGGCCACACAGCTTGCCAGCAAGTGGCCACTGTGCCCCACCACTGCATGTCTGATGATGGAATCACTGTTGGGTGAGCGTTGTCATTGTGGACAGTGTGACGAAAATAAGGGAAGTAAATTAGGAAAAGCAGCATAGAGTGCAGTGTGCGTGAGCCAGAGTGTAGTCAGTATTCTTTACTATTTTGCTTTTATATCTGTCCGAATGTCTGTTATCAGTGCTGCGCCATGTTTATTGAATATAAACAGAGTTGTTTCGGCTTGTGAGCTCAGAGTGGTCTGGCACGGTGTGTTGACGTCCGTACCTTGCGTTAAATGGTGTCACGTAATTTGGCGGGTCAGCCCGGTTCTGGTGTTCCCACAGCATACCGATCAGAGACATGCTTCAGTGAGCTGTTCCCACTGCTACTAAAAGTTGATTGTACCTGCGTTTAAATGGGTTTTTCAGCCACTGTGAAAGCGGTATCAGGGTGGTTCTATCTGTGTTTCTATCTATCCGGCTGGTCGATTTCTCGCCAGTGTGGAGTAGAGTAGATCATTCAGACAGGAAGTAAGTTGCTCCCAAGCAAAGTGGATCTGGTGGAGTTTAAAAGTTAAGCACTACATGTGCACATGCATTTTACTCTATAACATCAGAACAACCTTACCTGTGGCTCCAGCACAGAGCTTGGCAGATTCTGCACCACGGACATTCCGTACCTCTAATGCTTTCTGTGGAACCCCGGGTTAGGGGCTAAGCTCAGCCCCTGAAAATTAACCTACATACATTTGTCACCATTGACCAGTGTCTCCTTACCCTGCTCTGTGATTTTGATTGGTCTATAACTTCTTGGTTGAGCTTCTGTTTTTCCCAACCTCTTCATTGTTATATCACCAGCAACAGTTGGGTGTGGAATATTTAGCAGTGAGGAAATCTCATGAGTGAACTTATTGTCATCATATCACAGTACCAAGCCGGATTTCACTAAGCCCCTTAGATTAAACCTTTTTTGCACAATTGTTTGCAAAAGTAATCTGCATGTCTAGGTGTTGGATTTTATATACCTGACTGTGGAAGTAATTAAAACATCTTAATTCTTTGATTTAGATTTAGCATTTTGTTTCCCCATAAAATAGGCAAATTGTTATGCTCTGTACTTAATTTTTAAGTTTGTGGACTTTGTTTGGGAAAAAGATTTGACTTAATGTTTCAACTTCTCACTGCAGAAAAGAAGGAGGAGCTGGAGAAACTTGCGAAGGATCCAACGTATGAAAACGACAGCCTCTCAAAACTCAGAAGTAAGATTTTACAGGAGTTCAGCAGCAGGAAGGAGGCCAGAGGGATTATTTTCACTAGAACACGTCACAGTGCTATAACTCTTAGCCAGTGGATTCAAGAAAACCCCAAGTTTGCTGACATTGGAGTGAAGCCCTCTCATGTCATTGGAGGAGGAGACCAGAGCGATACTAAACCAATGACAGCTGTAGGTCCTATACACGAACTGTTTTCTGGCTTCCGTGTCTGAAGTACTTGATATATGACGTGCAGTCTTATTCCTCAGGCAGAGCAAAAGGATGTCTTAAAGAAGTTCAGAACTGGTGAACTCAACCTGCTTATTGCTACAACAGTGGCAGAGGAAGGGTTGGACATACCGGCCTGCAATTTTGTTATCCGATACGGCCATGTGACCAATGAAATTGCTATGATTCAGGTTAGTGGAATAAATATCAGTGTCTACAGTCAGTGATTAACTATGTGATTTGATTCATATTTTATTTAGTACAAACCATATTGCATGAAGAAGATATTCAGTAAACCCTTTATAAGCTTTAAATCTGGCTGCACGACCCGCGACCCTGCTTGGGATAAAGCATGTCAGAAATTGGATGATTTTCCTTTACTCAGTAAGAGTGTCATACTGAAGAGTGTTGTTACTGCAACACTTTAGTGTTTAGGTATATTGTGTTCACTTTTTAAGAAATCAGTATTGAAAAAGTTTACTGTATTTTCTTCTGATAATTTCAAAAAGCCATACCTAAACTAGTTCACACAAAAGAAAAAAATCTCAAATGTGGTTAAAATAAATATCTGTTGACTCTCAACAGAACTTGTATGAATTCCAAAGTCATGTTTATTTTATTTTGACCATTAAAAGCAAAATACAAAAAAAAACAAAACTAAAAAAGTTTTACCATGCCATGAGTGCAAACTTTTTTTCTGAATCTTTACCACAGCAGACGGATCTGAAGGACAATTAGAGGAGATTACAGATGACCAACTTTAAGAGCCAGGGCTTGCATCCGAAATATATCAGCAGCAATGGATTCCCTAAAGGAAATACAAAACTTATGTTTGTAGTTGTCAAAGTTCAATTTAGCCTCAGTTCAATTTTTTGTTCTACTAATACTTTGGTTTGCCAATAGATGAACCGAAGTGCATTTACTTCATTAGTGGAGAGAAAAAAGAAAAAAGTTTGATCAAACTCTGTTGTTTGAGGTTAAAAACTGTTACCCCAACAACGTTTTAGTTTGCTGTTATAACTGAATAGTAAATAAATAAATTCATAAGTAAATATAATAATCATTTAAACAATCAAATTATTCTCACCTTATTTCTCAGATTTTTCATGAAAAGGTATAAGCATTCACCAACAGTGAGTTTTAAGGCAGTTTGCAAAATAAAGTCTTGATCTTGGATTCTAACTACATACCTGGGCTAACAAATACACCGTTTTTGCACCTTCATAGTACATTATTATAGTTTGCAAAAAGCTAGTTTAGAAATTGGGACATTGATTCTTGGAAACCAAGCCTCTGACTATACATTTTGCCATTATTTTACTTTTCACTTTCAGGTCAGGAAAAAAGAAAGCAAAAACAAACATATACAAAAAAAAAAAAAACTTTTTTTAATCCAGATTTTTTCTTTTTTTCCTCATATGTCCTATAGGGCTTCCGTAGAATCCAGCTGTAAATTCTAGCAGCAGAGCATAAATGCATATAAGATGTAGGTTGATGTTCAGCGGAACAACTCACCATTTTTTCTATTTTGTTTTGCAGTCTCAAGGCAGAGGAAGAGCTGACGACAGCACATACACCGTTGTGGACGTAAAGAACACTGGGGTGGCTGAAAAGGAGTCTGTCAATGAGTACCGTGAGCAAATGATGAACAAAGCCATTCAGAAAATTAAAGCCTTGAATGAGAAAGATTACAATAAACAGGTACAATAAACAAGTATTTTTATTAGGTATGCATTTTCTTCCAAAGACTTCTTTTTCATTGTTTTTTTTCTGCACGTTTAGATCACTGAGTTTCAGATTCAGGCTATAATGGAGGAAAGAGTGAGGCAGGTGAGGCAGAAGAAGAAGGCTGTCAAGGATGAGAGCCCATCTGCTCTAGAGTTCAGCTGTCGAAACTGTAGCCAAAAAATCTGCAGCGGTGAAGACATCCAAGTTATCGAAAACATGCACAAAGTCAATGTTACGCAACAGTTCAGGTACAAAAATTTTTTTATATTTATGACTAGTGTGTTTAATTGAGTAACTAACTTTGCTTTTGTGTTTTTCAGGAAACTTTTCATTCAGAGAGAAAATGTATCTCTTCAGGAGCGTCGTTTGGATTATGAAACCAACGGTGTGATAGCTTGCAAAGGCTGTGGCCAGGTACACATATTGTATGGTTTATAGATTATCTGTGTTGGGCTTTGTTAAAGGAAAGCTCTTTTCTGTATAAACTCTTTAAATAACACTTCATAAAGTAAATTTATTGAATAACCATGAGACATGAAAACATAGTTTGAAGAAATTGTAATCTTACTCAGACCAGAGAAATTGCTTAGGTTTAAAGATGGCAGCGCTTACCAACCATGAAGTGGGCCCTGAATCACAGTTGAAGAAGTATTTTATACAACTCCAGTATCACAGCCTGCCACATCCTCACAGATCACATTACATGTTGCATGTTTGCAAGGTGGAAACGTCCCGCTCCATTAAAATAATACCATCTTCTTTGGTCAAGGTCATTCTGAATGCCCATTGAGAGATTGCTTGCTATTAGGATTCATCCACTCTGCCTGTAATCTCTGTTATGTGCATAATGAACATATTAACTACATATTCTGTCAGAAGAACTGTCCTAATTAGATGAACTGCTTGGAAAAACATTGGTTAAGATGTGTAACAGGCAGGTAATATTAGGGTTTAACAGACTCCCACATCATCAATAAAAATAATCCTAGCAGCTTTAAATAAAGATTCATGCTAAAATCCTCATACCCATGAATCCCTATTTCATATTGTCACATTACCATCCAAAACAGTAATTTGCTTTATTGGGATTTCCTATGGACGAATGCAAAACTCAATTTTTTTTATTTTTATTTTTTTAGCTTTTTTTTCCATGATGCATGAATCATTTTCATCCCCAAGGAAATAACTGTAGGTTTGGTCTACCAAATACTAAAGAAATGTAAACCCCTGAATTTGAAGAAAGACTTTAGAAATGCTAAAAACCAATTCTTACAGTTTGGACATTTAGCAAATAGAAGTGATAATGCTAATTGTATCTGATTTATACAGGAAGCGTTAGGTCTGACTCAATGTCAGACAGTGAGGGGAAAAGAAAACATGTGGCCTTTTATAGTCAAATCAAATATCTAGAATATAGCTGGCAAATTTGCCATTTGCAATAAAATTGCTATTTTACAAAACACAATTTTTAAATTGCAGAGGCACTCAGTTTAGTTCAGGTAACATTTATCAGGAGGAAGACAATGACTTATGAGTTATGATAAGCTAGCAGAAGGATTTACAGATCTGAGATAGATTCAGAAATAATTTTTAAGTGCAGCAGTTTGTCCTCCTGGGTTTTGGATGGAAATATTTGTAAAATAAGCTTTAAATGATAAATCATCTTCAGCGAGCTACCATTTTTCTAACAAACTTCCCTGAACAGAACCATTTTTACTAAAATTAAAGTAAAGACAGGTGGCTTTTTTTTACTTCTGAGATCCTTTGCAGCTGAAGCGCTAGATTTTCTTTTGGTAAGTCTAAGTTTTATGAGCCAAAAACCGCTAAAATCAGTTGATGTTTGAAATTGTAACATAGAAAATTGAACAATGATTAGGGGGTATGAATATTCTTTCTAGACAACGTATATATTTCTCCTGGTAAGAAATATAAAAAGAATAAAATTTTTGAATACTTTCCATTATATCATATTATTGACATTGGCTAAAATGTGCTCCACTTTTGTTTTAACTTGTGTTGCAGACATGGGGTTCAATGATGATGTACCGTGGAATTGACCTGCCGTGCCTCCACGTGAAAAACTTTGTAGTCAGTATAAATGGGAAAAAGCACAGCAACTACAGCAAGTGGAGCGACCTCCCCGTTAAGTTTCCTGCCTTCGACTACATTGAACACACCAGCCAGATGGTGCAGAGCTCGGATGATGAAGAAACAGAATGAACCCAACAAATCAGTGTACTTATTTGAGCTGTGGCTTAGTTTTTCTTCTGATAATGCAATTGGCCTCCTCTGCAGAATGCATGGATGATGGCCTCTTTTACTTAAGTTAGTGTTTTTATTGATTTCAAGTGCACTTTTTTTCTTTTTTGGCACTTAGGTGGGGTAACGCTTCATTTTATTTTATTCCGAATCGACTGACAAAAACAGTAAGGATTACACGCTTTTCAGAAATCATTGCTTTCCCATGAGATGGGAGGCAGTGAGCCTGTGATTGCCCCTCAGAGCCCACCTGTCAACTCAGATGCACACAAACAGCTGCTGTTGACTCTCTTTAAATCACCCATCAGTGAGTGACTCACAACTGTTGAGACTGAGCTATTTAAGGAGCCAACAGTTTAACCTATGTGTCTACATCCCTTTAGTTGACCTAATCGATTGAGCAAGTTTTAATGATCTTTCAGGGTTGTACAAATGAGCACTTTTGGTTGAGAGGAAAAAAAAAGCTTAGGATAAAATTGCACTGAAATTTCTGTAAAAGAAAGTAAAAAAAGATAAACACTTATAATTGAAAAAAAAATATATAATAATCCACACAGTGCACTTTACGTATAATATGGAGCCTCTGAGTGTCTTGAATATGTGTGACGAACACAAAAACGTTTTTTTTTCTTAATAATGTTTTAAAATGTCAAGTTTTCCCCACAAATGTATTGAAATACTCCCTCTGCTTTGTTCCATCACCATCCTGTTGTCAGGAATTTATCTAGTTTTATATTTTATATGAATGCCCTCCATATTTTAAGAGACAGTGAACCATGACATTACAAACTGAAGATAACACACATTATCTAAACTCACAAGAAAAAACAAATCTTTATCTTGCAAGAAGAGAGGTATTGTTGAAGTTTTTTTTTTTTCTTTCATTTACAGTCTTCAAACTGCCCTCTTAGATTTAAAAAAGACTCTTATGGTTCTTATATATAATAGAGTCATATAAAATAAGCCTGCATTGTAACCTAATTTCGGTTTAGGTTGTGGGACTGTTTCTGGAATAATGTTTAGGATTGAATGAAAGCTTACGAGGAGGCGTTTATTGTTTGATTGAGAAGCTCCTTTTGGACTTTTAAGGAAATATTTACGGTATCTGGAATAAAACAAGATAATACAAACATTGTCTTTAAATTGTTATTTTTGAAGTTTTATGTTCTTTCCTCATTAAAGTATTGATTTGCCTTTTGTCTATTTTCTTTATATTGAACAACCAATATTAGGGTAATTTGAGTTGTTATACTGAATGACCACAATTTAGTAATGCATAAAAGTGGAATTTTTTTTTTTTTTTTTTTTATGTTGTTTTACAATAATGTATAAATGGGGTTTGCATCTGTATTGAATACCTTTCTTTTGTCGTTACGCCTAAATAAAATCCTGATAACCAACTTGCTGCCAAAATCATATCAGTATTAAGCTCTAAGTTTGAAAATAATTGTTTTGTGAAGGTCTCTGTAAAGAGCTTTTTTTTTTTTAAGAAAATGGGGCACAGGAACCATCATAAAGACATTGGCATGCAGACTATTTAGGGATACATTTAAGCTTAGACAGGGGTCAGGCTCTAAAAAGAACAACTCAAACTTTGAACATTACTGTTTTGATGATTGAGATGTTTTTCATCTGAAAATGAGGAAAAATGGCACAACTGCAGATCTACCAAGAATAAACCAACATCCGAGGCAAGGAAAGCATTATTCAGAGCTCAATTGGAAATACACTATATTGCCAAAAGTATTTGCTCACCTGCCTTGACTCACATATGAGCTTAAGTGACATCCCGTTCCTAATCCATAGGGTTCAATATGACGTCGGTCCACCCTTTGCAGCTAGAACAGCTTCAACTCTTCTGGGAAGGCTGTCCACAAGGTTTAGGAGTGTGTTTATGGGAATTTTTGACCATTCTTCCAGAAGCGCATTTGTGAGGTCGCACACTGATGTTGGACGAGAAGGCCTGGCTCTCAGTCTCCGCTCTAATTCATCCCAAAGGTGTTCTATCGGGTTGAGGTCAGGACTCTGTGCAGGCCAGTCAAGTTCATCCACACCAGACTCTGTCATCCATGTCTTTATGGACCTTGCTTTGTGCACTGGTGCACAGTCATGTTGGAAGAGGAAGGGGCCAGCTCCAAACTGTTCCCACAAAGTTGGGAGCATGGAATTGTCCAAAATGTCTTGGTATGCTGAAGCATTCAGAGTTCCTTTCACTGGAACTAAGGGGCCAAGCCCAGCTCCTGAAAAACAACCCCACACCATAATCCCCCCTCCACCAAACTTTACACTTGGCACAATGCAGTCAGACAAGTACCGTTCTCCTGGCAACCGCCAAACCCAGACCCGTCCATCAGATTGCCAGATGGAGAAGCGCGATTCGTCACTCCAGAGAACGCGTCTCCACTGCTCTAGAGTCCAGTGGCGGCGTGCTTTACACCACCGCATCCGACGCTTTGCATTGCACTTGGTGATGTATGGCTTGGATGCAGCTGCTCGACCATGGAAACCCATTCCATGAAGCTCTCTGCGCACTGTTCTTGAGCTAATCTGAAGGCCACATGAAGTTTGGAGGTCTGTAGTGATTGACTCTGCAGAAAGTTGGCGACCTCTTCGCACTATGCGCGTCAGCATCCGCTGACCCCGCTCCGTCAGTTTACGTGGCCTACCACTTCGTGGCTGAGTTGCTGTCGTTCCCAAACACTTCCATTTTCTTATAATACAGCTGACAGTTGACTGTGGAATATTTAGGAGCGAGGAAATTTCACGACTGGATTTGTTGCACAGGTGGCATCCTATCACAGTTCCACGCTGGAATTCACTGAGCTCCTGAGAGCGACCCATTCTTTCACAAATGTTTGTAAAAACGGTCTGCATGCCTAGGTGCTTGAATTTATACACCTGTGGCCATGGAAGTGATTGGAACACCTGATTCCAATAATTTGGATGGGTGAGCAAATACTTTTGGCAATATAGTGTATGTGTGTCTGTTCGTCATGCACTCCCCTAGGAATTGTTGATTATTTTGGTAGCCTTAAGTTTTCCATTAGTCAAACTAAAAATTATAGTTTTAGGGAATTAACATTTTAAAATAAACATATATATATACTTCATTGAATTACACCTGTATGAATATGCAAATATAAATCTAATTTATATAGAAAGAAACAATTGGACCCTTAATGACATTTTTATGTATATATATATTTTATGTTATCTTTCAGCAAATTGCATTCTTAGTCTGTGTACCTTTACTCTAGCTAACAATTCGATTTGATTACCAAATTAGTTGACAATTTCAATAATCGAATAATCTGATAAGTTGTTTATGCCCTATTCTCCACAAATTGTAAATGAACTGAATTTATTGCTTTTTCTAGTCAAAGGACCACTAAAAAAATATCTCAAAAGAATTTAGCTTCAACTTAAATGAATTGCTTAAATTGGTAACATTTGATTGAATTAAGTTTAGGCAATTTAGCTTTTTTAAATTTTATTAAAAAAGAAGTTAAACCATATTGAAATATTGTTATGATAAACCTAATTCAGTAACTTTTTACCGATTGAAGCAATTTGTTGAGGTTGGAGTTGCATTTTCTTTTTAGAGTGTGCATTGTCATATTGAGCCACTCAGACAATCACTCCTTCATTAACCAATATCAAGTGACAGAAGGAATTTGGAAGCAAATGTACAACTTTGGGGATTCAAGTGGACCACTTTTTCTTCCACCGGGAAGATGTTTTATTCCATTTATTCTGCAGAAAGAAAGCCATCGATGAAACAAACTATAAAAAGTCTCATTTACTTTACTCTGAACACTCCATTCCCCTGGTGAAACACAGTCGTGGCAGCATTATGCTTTAGGTGTATTTTAGTAGCAATATACATGCAGTCATTTACAGATAAATATAGAACAATCTTGCATAAAAACATTCAAGAAGCTTCGAAATACTTGGAACTGGAACATAAATGCTATTAATGTGAGAATGGATAGAAAAAGTAGGCTACATCTAAATAAATAAAAAAGACATTAAATGAATGCTCACATATGTTCTCTACATTTTACTTTGAAAATTGTCATGAATTACCATAAACAATAAAGTTAATGTGGATGTTTTAAGGTGACAAAGTGGGTATTAATATTTTGCAATTGTACCTCTAGGTAAATAACTTTAGAGACAGAGCCGGCTTTTCCTGCTTTACCGCGCCAGTTGCGCTCTGGGTAAGGAAGAAGCCACTTCCTTTAACCAGCGGCTGCATAAAGTTGTGCGCTCCTGGAAAGTTGTCCTCCGGACTCCAAGCAGCTTTCTAGCGCAGTGTGCGGATGCGTCAGGGCTGCCTCTAGGTATGCCCAGGCAAGGATAGGAATCTTCGGAGCTCAGCTTCATGTAATTGAATTATAATTCAGTGTTGGCGGTAGTTCTGCGAGGGAGAGTATGCTGAGCAGGCTGCGTGTCCGAGGTGAGACTGCAAACCGCGACTTCTGAGGAACATTACGCGCAGCGCAAAGCGGCAACTTCATCTCCATCATGGTCAGTAAACCTTTTAAACCCCACGCTAGATCTGTAAAAAAGAATATATCAAAGGAGTGTTGTTATTGAGTGTGAGATGTAAATAATAAGAAAGCTCCAAAAAAGGATACTGCAGCGTCAGCTTGCCTTTTTTTTCCCCTTTCTTTCTTTCAGGGCTGCAGTAACAGGCTGAAGTTGGGAGTGATAGGGGCGGCTGTCGTCATCACGTTAATAACAATACTAGCAGTTTATTACAGCAGTAAGTTCTGATTCTGAAATGTCCTGTCTGTTTCTTGGATGCATTAAGACTTAATCCATTTGCCAGGGTGACAGACCCTTTCCCCTCCTTCTATAGGCACTTTAGGGGTTAAATTATTCCACTGTGAAATGAAAAACTGTTCCAGAGTGAACACAAGAACTCTGGCATTTTTTGGGATCTAAGATACTCAAATAAATCTTAAAAAAAAAAAAAATCCAGTTCTTTTTTATTCAGGGTAAGAATGTGATGCACAATGTCCATAGCAGTTCCACTGTTGTATGGGGCCTTAGGGAAATTTGATTTAGGGCCCCTTTTATAGGAAGAAAAATCCAAGAACATACATTTTCAAAGTAAGACCAGTCTTATAATGCTTGCACTTAAAACTTCTGCTTTCTTTTTAACGTACATGGATACAAAAAAATAGAAAGGCTCAAACTCTCCAGTCTAAAACAGATCAACCCAATTACATTGTGGAAGATGGTAGTTTATGCTTGTGCAAGAATTATACATAATCTAACAGCTTTTTTCTGTAACCACAACAGTCAGGATTGTAGCCATATGCTCTATAATATGTGAGTAATGAGCTATATGGATCTTTAAACTTTCAACTGGCTGCTATAAGAGGTTTACTTTAAAAAAAAAGTTTTTGCTTAACATCCATAGGTATCTGACTGGTTCTAATCTGTTACCACTGTCTCTGTTAGTCTAGTCCTTTTCCAACCTTTGAAACTGGGCTCTGTCAGCTCCTTTCCAGTTAGTCTGGCTGGCAAGGCTAAGTGAAAACAAGAGCACACCAGCAAAGATTATAACCTTGCCAGCTGCACACTGTCATTCCATCAGCTGGAATGGTTGATTTGTGATGATACCAGTCCAACCTGTATACAAGCAAAAAGAATCCGCAAGCAGTGAAGAGTAAGTTGCAAAAGGACATTATGGATCTGTGCACAGAGCAAAAGGAACAAGCCAGAAGACAAAGTACCTTTGCAAGATTTAATATATTTAAAGTTGATTCATGTTTTTAGTGCAGACATTACACGTTTGCACTCAAAAGTTCAAGCAGAAGTTTTGACCGTAAGCACATCAAGATTCTGCTCTTAAATTAAAAAAGTGTGCTCTTAAATTATGACAGAAACTGCCTCCTGTAACCTCTTTCTGCAAAGAACATCACCAACAGTTCCAATGCAGAAGCAGAAGACTCTAAGAGGGCTCCAAGTTAATATAAAATCATGCATAATTGATTATTATTTAAGATGAATCTGTGAAGAATAGAAATTTAGATGCATAAAAAATGTTAAACTTGTAAAGAATAGTCTTTGCTCTATTATAAAATAAATATTTATATTTGGCTGTGCTCAGGAGTGGGTATGATCAGAGATGTGTAAAGCTGAGAAACCTTGGTATTGGTACTGAAAAAGCAGAAATGAA